CAAAAAAAAAAAAAAAAAAAAAAAAAATGTACATTGTAGCATAATTTGCGGATTATTTCTATGTATATTGTAGTAAAATATGCGTTCAATATAACAACCATGATATAATATGATAGCAGTGATTACAATGGTGAAGGTGTATGGCTCAGGCACATACATTGGGGGAGTGGGTAGCACGATACAGTGCGAGTTTAAAGCACTACGTAGGACACTATGAGGATGAAATTAGGTACTTTTTGGTTTTACTTTTGAATAAGGCATAGGTTGGACAGCTTTTCAATTCGTTAGGGAGTGAGTTCCATAGACCAAGCCCCTTTATTTGCACACATTGTTTACACAGACTAAGTTTGACTTTGGGGGATATCAATTTGTCAAGCAAGAGTTTCAGAGCATGGTTTGCATTTAAGAATAGGGTTTTGTAAATGTACTTGGCACAAGAGAATGTGTGGAGTGAGTTTATGTTTAGCATGTTTAGGGTATTAAACAAAAGGGGGTTGAGTGTTGTCTGAAAGTCGAGTTTGTTATTATTCTGATAGCAGATTTTTGCTGGGTGATGATTGGCTTGAGGTAGTTTGCAGAGGTTGAGCCCCATGGACAGATACCGTATGAAAGATAGGGATAGATTAGAGCGTAGTATAATGAGATTAGAGCAGAGTTTGGGACATAATATATGATTTTAGAAAAGCATACCAACCGTTTTTTAGACTTTCTTGGTTATGTGTTGAATGTGGGTGCTGAAGTTGAGTTTCTTATCTATGTATAGGCCAAGGAACTTTCTATCATTTTTATTGCTGATGGTAACATTGTCTATCTGAAGCTGAATTGTTTCTGTTGATTTGCTTCCAAATAAAATGTAGTAGGCGTTTCTGTGTTTAGTGTGAGTCTGTTGGTTGACATCCACGCGAGGACTTTTGTTAATTCATTATTTTGAACATTATTTAGTGTATGTGGGTTGGGGTCTGAGTAGATGAGGGTAGTTTCATCAGCAAACAATGCAGGTTTAAGAATGTTAGAGACATTAGGCAGATCATTGATGTATATAAGAAAGAGGAGAGGTCCTAGGATGCTGCCCTGTGTCACCCCTACGGTTATTGGTAGAGTGGGAGAGGTTATATTATTATGGATGGCTACATATTGGTGTCTGTCACTAAGATAGGATCAAATATAGTTCAAGGCACAGCCTCGGATTCCATAATGGCGGAGTTAAAGTAAGAGGTAGTTATGGTTAACAGTATCAAATGCCTTTCTCAGGTCAATGAAGAGTCCAGTCGGGAACTCATTTTTGTCAAGGGCTGAGTAGATTATATCAAGCAGACTAATAATTGCATCGTTGGTACTCTTTTGGGAGCGGAAGCCAAACTGATAGGCACTTAGTATGTTGAATTTTATGAGGTAGAAGTAGAGCTGTTTGTAGAAAAAAAATTCCAATATTTTTGATAATACAGGTAGATTTGATATTGGTCTGTAATTGTTTATATCTGCCGGATTACCTCCTTTATTAACTGGTGTTACTCTTGCTTTTTTAAGGATATCAGGGAAGGTGTGACACTCTAGACATTTGTTGAACAGCAGAGCTATGGGTGGCGCAAGGGCATGGGAGGCGCTCTTGTATACAATGAATGGTATTTCACTAATATTCCCAGCTTTTGTTTTTAGTTAGTGAATAATGGACATATCGAATGACGCTCAATCCAGAGTTCCTGGTTCGAATCCCGGGCGAGACAGTAAAGGTTGGGCACATTTCCTTTCTCCTAGTACCGCTGTTCACCTAGCAGTGCATAGGTACTCAGGAGTTAGTCAGCTTGCTGTGAGGTTGCCTCCTGGGTGGGGTCAATAATTCGACCTTGGAGGGGGGGGGCGACCTCGATAAAAGCCAAATGTGTATTAATACACTCTGGCTTCCTGTTTCCCAACACAGTGAATTATTTAATAATTATAACATGTGTCGGGGTGACCGGTGAGAGGAGGAGAGAGTTTGGGTAGCTGCCTGAGAGATATGTGGTAACATGTGTGTCTGGGTCCTTAGAATTTTTCTGGCACGGTTAGCACCAACTGATGAAAAGAAGCTATTGAATTCAGCTGCCGTTTCTAAATCTGTTGCAGGTGTATAACCATCCTTGGAGAGTTTTATGTGCGTGTTATGTGGTAATCATTCCTACTCTGCCCTTGACAATGTTAACAAGAGCTAACTCAACTCAACTCTCAACGTCAGGCCAAAAAATACTGTAAAAATGAACGTTGGAGAGTTAATGTTTCAACTTTCTTCTCACGTGAAGAACATGTAAGGAAAATAGCGAAGATTTGTGCTACAGTCATTGATCTCACGCTTTCGGTCACCTTCAATAGGCATATGGGTTTCACCACATTCCTTGATTAATGGATTTACCTGAATTTACTTGAGGGCCACTAATACTAGTGGCCTCGACGAGGACAGGAAGCTGGCGGCTTGTCAAACGTCCTCCCCCCCCCCATTTGCCCTGATGATCTTTTCCATTTGTATTTTAATCCCAAACAGAGTTTTGGCATTTATGGCCTGGGCTCAGTACACAACACTGTTTTGCTGAATACTTCGCTCATATTGAAGCTTCCCCTCAAACAGTCTTCATCGACCTAGCAGCAGCTTTTGATACAGCAAACAGAGAAATCATACTGGAACAGCTTGCCGAGCTGGGAATACAAGGAAAATTACTGAAATGGATAAAGGGCTATTTGTCTAATCGAACAGCATATGTTTTGTTTAATGGTGTTAAAAGCACAGAGAGCAAACACTTTGAACTGGGAACTCCACAAGGAAGGGTCCTCAGTCCCTTGTTGTTCAACGTTCTGATGCATAAACTTATTAAAGATCTTCCAACTAATAATGAAGACACTATCATTTGTTATGCTGATGATATATGTTTACAGGCTGCCACCGAGCCTAGAATGCAAGTTCTGCTCGACTCTTTTGCTACTAGAGCTGAGGAATGTGGCCTCCTTATCTCTGTACAGAAAACTCGTGCCCTCATTCCATGTGGTATTCCACCACCAAATTATCACATAGATGGGTGAGCACTTGAGAACTGCGAGTCTTACAGATACCTTGGTGTCCCCATTAACGACCCTGGGTACCTTTCTTCTCTCAAGAGGAGACTTTGGGAGAGATTAAAGCCCTTGCGGGTCCTTGTTGGTGTCAATCATGGACTTAACGTGAGACTTGCTAGAATGTTTTATGTATCATTTATACGCTCTGTGATTGACTACAATGCTCTACATCTCACACTGTATACTGACAAAGAGCTGAAATCTCTTGAAACCTTGCAAAATGAAGCTATGCGTCTCATCCTTGGGGCTCCAAAGTCCACGAGAATAGTTAATATGAGAGCAGAGTTAAAATTACCTACCATAAGTGAGAGAATTTTGTCTATTAGCACAGTTTTCGGCGTGAAGGCATTGAGTAGATCTCGGCAACACATGAAGTTTCAAGCTAAACTTTCTAACATGCTGCACTCACCTGAGGTCTATAGAAGTTGAAAAGCGAAATCTGATCTTTTGGTTCTACAAAGTAGCCAACTCCATTAAAAATATTAAATATGTACCCAAGTCAATTAACGATTAATCAACACCGTAACAACCTACCCTGGCTTTGCGCCCTGGAGAGGCCACTCCAAACCCACAACCAGAGCGCAACTCCATAGTCTCCTGAGACTGATGGATGACTGCTACTACTACTAATCCTTGAAAAAATTGGGATCTATCAGTCGATTTTGTAAATGCACCCAAGAAAGATAGTGTACACTCTACATTTGAAATTAAATTCCTTTGGATACCATCACATGTTGGCATCCAAAGCATGACACTATTGATATGCTTGCAAATACAGCATGTAGAACCAAAGTAGTAGAAATTGATATGGGTGTTTTATGATAAATATCGTGAGGAGACATTCATATATGGAACTAATAGAACAAGAACTAGGTAATGTGATGTTATAGTGGCCAGAATACGCCTGGGATATAGACGTATCTGGCAGCTTTCTCAAAACCCAAATGTCGAGTACACAATGTGTCAACTTTGTGAAAGAGAAAACATGCACTCCCTTGAACATTATATTGTAGAATGTCCCATATTGACTGACTTTCGCCCTCCTGGGCTGAGGTATGCTGAACTCTGTAAATACTATATGAATATTGGAACACTTGATGATATATTGGACTTGTACCCAAGATTGACTATGTAATGCATCAGTTATACAATGTATGTGATGTAACTATAACCTGAGCTTGTAAAAGCATCTTAATCACCTTCAGTGGTTAAGTGCTTAATAACACACTAGTTTCTATAGCAGCTATCTTACCCTGTCAAAGTAGGAGAGACATAATATATATATATGTATATATATATATATATATATATATATATTTAAGCACTGCAATGTGTATACAGGATATTTGGAAGCTGGTCAGAATTGCATTTCACATGTGTAAACACACATTAATGACATTATGTAAAAAGACACCTCGAACACTGTTTATGTAGGACAGACGTAAATCTGTGTATTTATGTCTGCTAACAAGGAAAACACTACTGGACTTATCTGAAATATTATATTAAATTTACATAATTAAATTCTTATGACAAAAGTAATCGTTCTCAAACAAATGACTATTATGTTTCAATATGTGCACATAATGTAACTAAAGTATACATGCTTTATTAATGTGTAAATAAGAGTTTATTATTATAAAGAGACGACATCTGACAACACAACAGTTGACCACATCTAGCTATACTTGTCCACTAACTCACAGGTATTACACAGGTCCACTAACTCACAGGTATTACACAGGTCCACTAACTCACTGGTATTACACAGGTCCACTAACTCTCAGGTATTACACAGGTCCACTAACTCACAGGTGTTACACAGGTCCACTAACTCACAGGTGTTACACAGGTCCACTAACTCACAGGTATTACACAGGTCCACTAACTCACAGGTGTTACACAGGTCCACTACTCACTGGTATTACACAGGTCCACTAACTCACAGGTATTACACAGGTCCACTAACTCACAGGTATTACACAGGTCCACTAACTCACAGGTGTTACACAGGTCCACTAACTCACAGGTATTACACAGGTCCACTAACTCACAGGTGTTACACAGGTCCACTAACTCACAGGTATTACACAGGTCCACTAACTCACAGGTATTACACAGGTCCACTAACTCACAGGTATTACACAGGTCCACTAACTCACAGGTATTACACAGGTCCACTAACTCACAGGTATTACACAGGTCCACTAACTCACAGGTATTACACAGGTCCACTAACTCACAGGTATTACACAGGTCCACTAACTCACAGGTATCACACAGGTCCACTAACTCACAGGTATCACACAGGTCCACTAACTCACAGGTATCACACAGGTCCACTTCAGGTCTCCCCCTCCCCCAAGTCAGCCACGTCTCCAATCACGTTGCCATGTCCTACTGAACATATTATAAAAGCTAACACACATACATATATAAATATTTATTTCATATCTTATTATATTTATACTGCATTTATACATTTATACCGCATTTAGAGCATTTATATTGTGAGAATCCATAACTGACATGGCTTCGTAAGAGAGGCGCAGCAGAGACATACAACTGAACGACTACTGTTTCTTCATTACAGGTGAAGGTACGCTTGATTATTGCCAGGGTTTGGTTCCCCTTCCCTTTACTGCAGGCCCGCTTGTACATTTTGTACTTACAAGAGTTTTTACATTCTTGTACAGCCACTAGTACGCGTAGCTTTCGGGCAAGTCCCTGGAATACGATCCCCGCCGCGAAGAATCGTTTTTTCATCCCCAGTACACATTTTACTGTTGCGTTAAACAGAGGCTACAGTTAGGAATTGCGCCAGTAAATCCTCCCCGGCCAGGATACGAACCCATGACCATAGCGCTCGCGAACGCCAGGCTAGTGTCTTACCACTACACCACGAGACTGTGTCTTGTTGTGCAACTTTCAGTGAATGATGGATTCTGACTCCAAGATCTTTTCTTTATCAATCCGCTGTAAGGTAGTGGTGTCAGTTTGGTAGTTGTGACGTGGGTTGTTATGCCCCACATGTTGGGTCTTGCATTTATCAATATTAAAAAGCATTTGCCAGTCTTCTGACCATTTGTGGAGTTCATATTGATTTCTTTGTAAGGTTTCAATATAATTTTCACTTCCCACTTTACCTTAGATCTTAATGTTATCTGCAAATTTGATGATGTAGTTTGTAATATTTTCATCTATGTCAATGATGTATATGACAAAAAGGGTTGGTCCCACAATGGACCCTTGTGGTACCCCCACTCACCACATTTCTACAGTCAAATTCATTGCCATTTAGTACGACTCTTTGTTTTCTTTGTTTTAACCATTATTTTATCCATTCCAACTTTCAGATGCAGGCGATGAGTCACAATAACGCGGCTAAAGTATGTAGTTTGAGAATGGTCCAGGACGGACCGATCTTGAGGTTATCTTGAGATGATTTCGGGGCTTTAGTGTCCCCGCGGCCCGGTCCTTGACCAGGCCTCCACCCCCAGGAAGCAGCCCGTGACAGCTGACTAACACCCAGTACCTATTTACTGCTAGGTAACAGGGGCATTCAGGGTTAAAGAAACTTTGCCCATTTGTTCCTGCCTCGTGCGGGAATCGAACCCGCGCCACAGAATTACGAGTCCTGCGCGCTATCCACCAGGCTACGAGTTTCTTTTAATTTTTCCTTGTGGATACTTATGCATAATATATATCCATATAAATAAAAATGTAAATGTTCGTTTGTGCATAACCGCTAATCTTCGAAAGTTCTTCACCGATTGCTTTAAAATTTTCACACAACTTTCCATTCGCATCCGAGCAGGATTTTATATACATACTATATAGATGTCATGTCAGTGACTGTAAAAAAAAAAACATGTTTATTTATGAAAAACAGTGTTTTTCATGTGAGGGAAATCTTCGAAACCTCTTTGCCGATTGATTTGAAATTTTGACACAACGTTGTATTTGAATAGACGCGTCTTTTTATATATCTACAATATACATGCCTCACCTGTGACAGGAAAAAGCATGCTTTTTTGAAAAACAGCGCCATCTGTTGGACGTAAGAGCGACACACGCTGTAATCTCTGAAAGTTCTTCACTGTTTGCTTTGAAATTTTACCACAACGTTGCATTCGAATAGTCGCGTCTTTTTATTTACTACTATATAGATGCCACCCTTGTGACAGGTAAAAACATGCGGTTTTTAAAATACAGCGTTGTCTAATCTGTTGCACATAATAGCAACATGCACGCTATACTAAATATGTCACGAATTCCATTTCAATGTTTCCGATTGCATTGATAAATTTTATTTTCATAGATTTCGATTTATTTTATTTTTTATTGGATTATTTTGTGTGATATTGTGTTGGAATTGACCTGCGTTGTTTACCATACCGTTCCTTTTGTAAGTATGAGTATAGATGCCACACCTGTGACAGGTAAAACTATGCTTTTCTTGAAAAACAGCGCCATCTGTTGCATGTAAGAGCAACACACATGCTATAACAAACATGTTACAATTCCATTTCAATGTTTCTGATTGTGTTGTTAAACCGAAGTTTCATACATTTTGATTTATTTTCATTTTGATTTAGTTATATTGTG